CCATTCTCCGTTGGGCCCCCCTGAGGATCGTCAGGGATTTCCTGCTCCTCCGAAGGGCCTCCGCCCACGCGGGGGCACCGTACGTCGCTATCGATGTTATGATATTGGCATAAAGCCTCCTAACCTTCCCACACGGCCCGCCCAGATTGGGCATCAGACGCGATAGCGCGTTTACCGCGCCGTCCAATCTGGGCGCCAGTCTCCTCACGTGCTCCTCGAAGCCCCATCGTCCGTCTATGTGGAGGCCCAGATATTTTATCTGGGCCCCCACTTTTATGTTCTCGCCGTCTACCCCGAATTGGGTTTCGGGTGGCGGCCCGGCCGAACCGTCATGGAAAAAGACGGCCTCGGTCTTCTTGGCCGCCACCCTCAGCCCCAGTGCCTTTATGGTCCTTACCGCGCAGGCCATCGCCACATTTCCAGTGGTAACGGCCTCCCCCCAGTCGCTCCCGCCGGCCAGCACGAGCGTGTCGTCAGCGTAACACACGCACGTGCTGCCGGCGGGAAGCGCCGCACGCAGAACCCCGTCGTACGCCACGTCCCACAGGAGCGGTCCTAGGACCGACCCCTGCGGGACGCCGCGCTCCGCCCTCCATGTGCGGGGATCGCCATTCCGGTCCACACATGTTATTGTCCTGTCCCGTAGATAGTCCCCGATTATCCCGCGTAGATAGTCGGGGACCTCCAGACGCCAAGCCTTCTACTATCTCTTGATGGGGGATGGAGTTGAAGGCGTTTGCCACATCTAGGGCAACCGCCAGCACAACCCCTCCATCCCCCATCATCCTATCCGACAGTTCGCGTACGCACATAATGGCGTCCACTGTGGATCGCCCTTCACGGAAGCCGAACTGCCTCTCGGACAGGTCGGGCCCGACATTTTCAACATGCCTCATCAAGCGGGCCGCTATTACCCGTTCAAATAGCTTCCCGACCTCGTCCAAGAGGCAGATCGGCCTGTAGCTTCCCGTTGCTTCCTTCGGCTTGCCCTCTTTAGGGAGGAGCACCAGCCTCGACCTCTTCCATAGCCCCGGGAAGACGCCCTCCCTCAGACAGCGGGTAAACAACCCCTCTAGTCTTCCGGAGAGCTCCCCCAGGGCTACTTTCCACACTACGCCGGGGACCCCGTCCGGCCCTGGTGCCTTGCCCTTCTTGAGCTTTTTTGTTGCTCGCACCAGTTCCGTCCGGGTGACCCCCAGCTCATCCTGCCAAGGCTGGTGCTCCCCTCCTCTGCGTTCCCCCCGCCTGGGGCCGCTCCCGTCCCCCGCTGGGAACAGCGCCTCCACCACTTCCTGTAGGAAACGCGGCTTCATCACCTCGACCGCCGGGGGCGCCCCCGAGCTTAGTTTGTTCATAACAAGCTTATAGGGGCGCCCCCATGGGTCCGTGTCCAGGGAACTAACTAATTCCTCCCACGCCTTTTCCTTGGCCATTTTTATTGCCAGCCTAAGCGCCTTCCTCTTCTGGCGGTACTCCTCCACTAATCTCTCCTCTTCCGCCGGAAGAGTTCTTCTTCTCCTCCTCGCCCGCAGGACGGCCCTTCTGGCGGCCACCGAGGATTTCCTAAGATCTTCAATCTCCCCCGACCACCAGTAGGCCGCCCTGCGTGGGGCGAACCTTGCCCGCGGCATCGCGCTGTCGCACGCAGTCTCCATCGCTCTCCGCAGCCAGGCCACTTCCTCTTCCACTGTGGCCGCTGGCTCAGGTTGCACCCATAGCGCCGCACCCAGTGACTCCACAAGTTTGTCGGCGTCTAACTTGTCGGCCCTCCACTTGTTCACCCGCTCTTGTGCCCCCCTGTTCCTATCCTCCCAGGTGAGCTCCAGTTCTATGGGGAGATGGTCGGACAGCATCTCTATGTCCTCCGCCACTCTCCATGTTCTCATCCTCCTCGCGGCCGCAGGGGAAGTCCACGTCAGGTCAACGATTGACTCCCCCTGCGGCGTAACGCAGGTACTGACTGTCCCCACGTTCTCCAGGTGGAGGCCCAGGCGCGTTGCCCAGGCCTCCACCTCCGCCCCCTTGGCGTCTGGCCGCCGGGAACCCCAAAGTGCCGATTTGGCATTGAAGTCCCCGGCGACCAGTATTGGCCCAGGGAGATACTCCCGAACTACGTCCTCCAGGTCTTGTAGCCGGGCTTCTACCTCCGCCCTGGTGAGGCTGGGCCTGATGTATACCGCGATCACAACCAGGGGCCCCCACTCCGCTGCAACCCACCCTTCTCCCGCTTTTAGTCCGGAGATCGGGGGGGTTTTCTCTCCTGTCCTCCTCCATACGATCGCGGCCGACCTGTCCGTGCTCCCCGCCCAGCAGGGGTTCTTGGGAACACGGTACGGCTCGGCCACGATACCGAGTCCGCAACCACGCTCCGCCAGGCTGTGAAGGAAGAGATCCTGGGCCTGGCGGGCGTGGTTGAGGTTCGCCTGCATCACCTTCATTGCTGTGAAGGCGCCGCTTTACCAGCCTCCTCCTGGCTGTTTCCCCCTCTCGAGTGCTCCTTGGTCCCCTGTGTCGCCTGCTCGATCTCCATGGGCTCCTCTCTCTCGGTTGACGGGCCCGCTTCTGCGTCACTCGCCTTCTTCTTGGCCTTTCCTGATCCGGTTTGACCCTCCTCCCGGTTCTTCCTGGCCGCCTTTTTCTTTTCTCCGTTGGTTGGGGGCCGGCCCCGCCGCTCCTCCAGCCTTGTGATTGGAGGGCATACCTCTCCCGCTGCACACGGCGCAGTTCGGGATTTCACTGCATCCCTGCGCCTTGTGCCCCTCTTTCCCGCATCTGTAGCACAATGTGCTCCTGTCTATGGCACTTTTGCACTGGGCCCTAACGTGCACCCTCTCAAGGCACCTGTAGCATACCAAGGGGCGCGGGTCCAACATCTCCACCCTGACTGCTACCCATCCTACCTTTATCCTCCTCGCCGCTGCTGCTTTCTTTGCGACTTCGACCCCGCACTGAACCCAGCAGGTTCCGAGGCCACTGGGGGTCTGTCGGATTGGGCCCACCTTTATCTCGTCCGGTAGGCCCTCTCCAACCCTTGCAACCGCGTCTCTAATCTCCTCTACTTGGACGGATTCGTCCAAGTCTTTGATACGGATCTCCGCCCTTTTTGTGGGGCGAGAGACCCGTACCCCCTTCTCTTCCGCTACCGACCTGATACAGCTGGCCAGCGTGTCGGCTTTCTTCTTCGCCTCCTCCCCTCCTGGGATTTCAAGTAGGGTCGCTCCGTTTAGGGCTCTCCTGTGCTTGACATTCTCTATCCCCAGGTCCTCCAGGTTTATTTTTGACCTTAGGTAGCGCATCCCCTCCCCCGCTTGACCTTCGGGGAAGGTAATCGCCACCGCGGCGGACCTGGGTGCTCTCCTCTTTTTGGGCTCCCCCTTTGCCTTCTCTTCCCTCGGTGTCTTTTCCGCGACCTTGTTGTTGTTTGCCGCAGCTAGCGGCTTCCCGGGTTTCGTCGCCGGCTCCTGTTTTCCGCCCGCCGGCTTCTTCTTCCCCCTCTTCACTACTTCCACCCATGAGGTGGCTGGCGTGGCAGGGGTCTTTTCCTTCGACGCCTTCTCCTCCTTGGTACCGCGTACTATCTGCGCCGCGGTCTCCTTTGCTTTCGCCCGTAGCTGTCCCTGACCTTGACCACTTCCACCTTTGTGATCTTGGGCAGGCTTCTCGGGTTGTCTCCTTTACCCGGCTTCCGTTCCTTTGGAATGCGGACTACCGCTCCCTGGCACCTGGCTATGAGATTTTCCAGGTTTTGTTTTACGTCTTCCGGGTCCCCGTCTACAACGTCTTTGATGGAGACACCCTTCATCACTCTTCGGATGCCCTCCATGGCCTCCTCTCTTGGGGGCTCATCCAGCGCCTTCCTCTCTTCTCTTACCGTTGGACGGTATACCGTCTCCTCAGTTCCTTCGGCCGTCTCCGATATCGCCGACTTCGCTCTCTCTTGCTTTTGGCCTTGGGCCTTAGGCCGCGCAGGTTTCGCCGCTCTTGGGTGTTTCGCGCGGGCTTGGACTTGGGCTTTGGCTTGGGGCGGGTGATCTGCCCCCTGATCCAGCTCGTGCATCTCCACTATTGCCCTCTTCTGTTTGTCCTTCTCCTCGGCTCTTGCTC